TCATCACACACTTGTCTCTATGCATGACTCAACCGTTCCCTGTTTCCCAGGTTGTGTCGGGCAACAGCCACTGCCTGGCACTGACCGATGAAGGGCTGCTGTACTCCTGGGGAGCCAACACCTACGGTCAGCTGGGGACCGGCAACAAGAGCAACCACCTCAGCCCGGTGCTGATCATGGCGGACAAAGAGAGGTGAGGTGCAAAAGAGGGGCTGATGTCTTTGTGTTTGGAGAAGAGACAGATTCCTCCCATCCTGTTTAGACTTCTACTTCCTGTTTCCTGTCCTCATTTCCTCCCCCCTTGTACCTTTTTTCGCTCCTGGTCTTAAGTAGTCGTCAGTGTGCAAAAGGAACTCGTCGTAGACAATAACAAAACCCTTTCTTGTTGTGGCTGTAACGGGACATTAACACTCTCTATGTGAATCTGTGCCAATTTGTTAACGCATCTCTCGTTTGTCAGGATTGTCGAGGTCGCAGCTTGCCATTCAACACATACGTCAGCAGCCAAGACCCAAAGCGGTCAGGTACATATGCAATTAATCTTGTCTACGATGGCTCCTTATGTATTCATATGTGAGTGGATATGTGCATTTGGCTTCAGAGTTTGTATAATCGGCTTTTTTTTGTTTTGTTGCAGGATTGAGTGTTTCTCAGTTTTTTTTTACCAATTATTTTAAGTGAGCCTGTGTGTTCAGTAAGCCATGATTATGTTTTACCCTCCAGGTGTATATGTGGGGTCAGTGTCGGGGTCAGTCCATCGTCATGCCACACCTCACGCACTTCACCACCACCGACGACGTCTTCGCCTGCTTCGCCACGCCCTCCGTCATGTGGAGGCTCATGTCTATGGGTGAGAGAGAGAGAGAGGGTGTTGATCCTCATCCTTTCTTCGCTAACATCGTGAGATCTGTTCTCAAAAACGTGACCTTAAGCTTGATTTATTGCTCTCTGCTTTATTCCAGAGCACGACGACTTCATGACCGTGGCGGAGGCTCTGAGGAAAGAGTTCGACAGCCCGGAGACAGCCGACCTCAAGTTCAGCGTCGACGGCAAGTGCATTCACGTTCACAAAGCTGTGCTGAAGATCAGGTGCGTGTCCCGTGTGCTGTTAAGACGTAGATATAACTCTAAAAAAAGCAGTTATTTTCCCATGCACACCAGTCTGGCAACCCAAAAAATTCACGACAGATAATGTGTGTTGTTTTGAGCAGGTGTGAGCATTTCCGGTCCATGTTTCGCTCCCAGTGGACGGAGGATCAGCAGGACGTGATCGAGATCGGCCAGTTCTCTTACCCTGTCTACAGATCCTTCCTCCAGTTCCTCTACACGGACGCCGTCGACCTTCCACCCGAGGACGCCATCGGTCAGCACGCGCATTTGTCAAATGCTCTGTTTTCTCATTTGTGTGGCTTCGATTCATACCTGTGTGTGTGTGTGTGTGTGTGTGTGTGTGTGTGTGTGTTGGCTGCAGGCCTGTTGGACCTGGCCACCTCTTACTGTGAGAACCGCCTGAAACGACTGTGTCAGCAGATCATCAAGAGAGGGATCAACGTCGAAAACGCCTTCACCTTGCTGTCTGCCGCCATACGATACGACGCTGAGGTACAGTACAGGCACGCTGTACTACTATACTGTAGAGGTTCACCCTACTTTTACAGATATTTTCATATACTTTACAACAAAAGTCTGAGTTTAAAGCAACTGAGAGGCTGCATGATAAACATGTCTCGTGAAAATAACATCTAGACTTTCCCTCGAATAGTTTTGAAGTAAGAATCGGTCAAAAGATTCTCCATAAAGCCAACACTTTTTGACAAACGCATCGCCCTGTCTCGTGTTATTTGTCTTTTTCTAGGACCTGGAAGTGTTTTGTTTTCGTTTCTGCGTGAACCACCTCACTCAGGTGACTCAGACCGAAGCCTTCTGGCAGGTAGACGGAGCGATGCTCAAAGAGTTCATCAGCAAAGCCAGCCGCTGCGGGGCCTTCAAGAACTGAGCGGTACTCTTGACGTTACCGCGTCGCTGCTCCACAAACATCAGGTCGGATCACATTCCGAAAAGAAAGCTTTCTTGAAACGTTGATTTTCATATTTACCGAGGCGGATAAGCAGCGTTCTCTATATGGACTGGAATTTTAAGCTGCTTTATCGGCAGATCAGCTCTTTGGCCAATTCCTGTGGAGGTTTTTTTCTTCTGTCTCGCTGCATTGAGCTCTCTTCACGCTGTACTTGAATTTTTGCTTGTTCTCTCGGCCAGTGCTAACTCTTTTTTTTCTGACATTCATTCGTTCGGGAGACCAAAGACCTGGTTCAGAGGACAGAGTCTGTGTCTGGCACCTGAAAGAGATGTTTAGGTAGAAGAGCTTTGACTTAAACTGGCCAGGACACAAGAACCACTTTACCGAAACACATCAATTTACAGCAAAAGTAGCTCCTGGATGTGTTGAAAGTTTCAATTTAAAGTCGCTCTTGAAGCTCATTTAAAGGCGTCAACGTACACAAGTTTAAAAACCATTGTGGGATGTATAATAATTTCCTTTTTATACTCGAGTCTGTTTTGTTTTGTATGATCATTTTACCTGACTTAAATATGTTGCTCTATGGCACTTTTAAGAAACTGCAGTCGCTTCTTTTTCTTGTCATGTATCGAAGGCAGATGGCTTGTTGCAGACGCTTTATATTCCAAGGATGACCTTCTATTCCTTTTTTTTTTACTCTGGGACTGACAACAAACTGATCCACGGTGTCTGTTTTCATCTGTTTGTGTTCTCGGGGCAAATGCAAAAAAACCAAGGGGCAACTCAGTGAGACCAAAATGAATCCTGAGTGATTCCTCTGTAATTTAATCACATTTTAAAGGACAATACACTGCAGGCTAAAAAGCAATATGAACGTCCGTGATTAAACAGTGAGATGTTTTGTTTATATTCTGTCAGCTTGGGTTTATGATGACCAATAACTGCCTGCAGGTCCTGGTTTATTACTTCTGTTGCATTACTGGGTAATTAATGTAAGCGGTAGAAAAAGAGTGTGATTGGCCAGGTCAGCTGACTTGTCAGATCAGTTTCGTTTTGTTAGGTTTCTATTTCTCCATCAGACAAGCAGTTTGATTTGGTCTGAGCTTGCTGGTAAGTAGGAACGCTGTTTATTATCAAAGCAGAGCATCATTCAGGTTAGAAAACAACTACAGATGAATTGAGGTTAGGTTTCTGTTCTTTAGCGGAATTAGGAGCAAGTTTACAATTTAGTTTTAGATGAAAAGAAAAAGATTGTTCTGCTTACTGTATTAAGATTAAAGTGTATTTTTACTGTACTTTGTTTATATTTTATTTACATAGGACAAGTTTATATTTATTTGGTTCAGCACCATGGTTTACTTTGAGGTGATCAGCACTAAAGTACTGGGATCTCTACCACTGTTTTTCTGCTGTTACATAACTGACATGTTTTTCTATACGTATATTTATTTATGGAATCACAAGTCTCTGAAGAAATAAATAACTCAAACTCTGCTTTGTTTCCATGTGGTTTTCTTTGCACTAGAGTAGTCTCTTATTAATTCATTCTTATTATGTGCATTCTTTGGCATGAAATTAGACTTCAGATATTATAAAAATCACATTATGTCTTATTCTTATTCTGCACTTAATGTTGTGTGTCATACTAAGGCAGCTACTTCTTCATAGTGTAATAAAAGCAGCGGTTATATGCTGTAGGATATCGTGGTACTCTGCTGCCACCTGCCGGAACAAACGGGTATTCAACGACGTAGTCATCGTTGCCCCGCCCTCTTTGTTACGTCAGAGGTTATTGCGGAACTCACCCGGAGGTTTGTCAACCAACCGACCACGAGCCGCGACAGGAACAGATCCAAGGTCAGTTCTTGTGTGCAGTACATGTAGGATAATCCAAACCTGTTACATGTAACGCGTGGGAAGTATAGGTGAGCCTGATTGAATGGAAGGAAGCGAGATGATGAACCGAGCCGATCCGGGCCAGTCCACACCGGGTCGCGATACGAGAAACAGTAGCGCTCAGACTAACAGCAGACTACAAGGTGAGCCAGATGGAGGAATAGCACGTGCTGTGATTGTTTAGCAACACTTCTGTGATGACATAAAACAACTGATGTGTGAGCAGCTGATCTGTACTTAATCTGTAATTACCGCTGCTGTTACACCTGCATGTCCATTCTTTAAAGGGCTTTTCTTGCCTAATATAGCAGCTACATCTAGAATGTTTGTGGTAGCAGCTTGTCAATAACCATCATGATTACCTCAGAAGAGCAAGTGGCTTACATGACAGTAGCCTAAATGTATAGTTTAGCTCAGTGTGTCTCATGTGTGTCCAGCTGAGTGTGCCCTGCTTTTTATTGGCTGTCCTCCAGGTCCTGGCCCCAGGCTATCGGAGGTAAACCTGTTCACCTTGTTGAGTTTGTGGATGGAGCTGTTCCCGCAAGAGCAATCCGAAGAAGAGGACCACAGTGAGGTGGGTTTCATGACATACACACAGTTGTGGGACAGTGAGTTATCGTAGGCTGCAGCACTCGAGCGTTCTCAATGTTCAGTGAATGACATCTGTCGTGTTCTAGATCCGTGGGACGGGTCTGGTGGTGGTGCGGGACCGCAAGGTGGTGGGACTCCACTGTTCAGGACCCGATCTCCACGCAGGACAGGCAGCCATCATCCAACATGGCGCCTGCTTGGCTGACTGTCAGTTGTACTTCTCGCGGAGGCCCTGCGCCTCCTGCCTCAAGATGATCATCAACGGTGAGGAGATTTACAAACGTACTGACGTATTATACATCAGTAATGAGCTGAACTTTGGATCGCTCGGCTCCACCTCCTCCACAATACACCATGCTGCTTTCTCTTCTTCCAGCTGGGGTCAATCGGATCTCCTTCTGGCCCGGAGACCCTGAGGTCAGCATGCTGAGGCCCGCCTCCGCAGACCACCCGAGCTCCCTCGGTCCACTTGACCGCATCACGGAGGAGGCCGCACTGGACGCCGTGGCAGTGGAGAGGCTGAAGTCCAACAGCCGTCCCCACATCTGTGTGCTGCTGCAGCCGCTGGCGCCCGGCCTGGCGCAGTTTGTGGACGAGACGTCCCGGAAGTGTGATTTCGTGGAGAGAATGTCCGATGATGAACCGGGGCTGAATACAGAGGAGCTCTTCAACAGGTACCGTCCTTTGCATCACAACTCATTGATGAACCGTTGCTGTGTTGCATGTAAGACGTTCTTCCTGCTTTTCCAGAGAGCGGACGACACACCTGAAGGATTTCCGCAGACGGCTCCTGGTCAAGACGTCCGAGCGGCACCGGGAGATCTTGACCCACATGGGTCTGGAGAACTTCTGTGTGGAGCCGAACTTCTCCAACCTGAGACACAACATGAGGGAGCTGGTGGAGGTTCTGGCCGCGGTGGCTGCGGGTGTGCCGCAGCAACGCTACGGCTTCCACAGGTTAGAAAACGCTCGCCGGTCCCTCACGCGTCTGCCGTGCGTTTTGCCGTTGTTGACTGTGTCGCTCCTGTGACCCAGGGAGCAGCCGTCAACCCCGGAGTCCTCGCCGCCTCTCCGTCACGAGGGGATGTCCCAAGAAGTGGCTCGCCATTGCATCATCCAAGCCAGGCTGCTGGCTTATAGAACAGGTCTGATTGGTTCTTCTGTTTGTCACAGACAGGATTCTTCCCAGTACACATCATCTGTTTCACTATCAAACAGCACACTAGCTTTTCATTGAATTACAAACACAGATAGCTGAGGTCAGCATTCGATTCGTGTGTGTGTGTGTGTGTGTGTGTGTGTGTGTGTGTGTGTGAGTATCTCGGCAGTGACTCTCGACGAAACAGATGCATGCCTGTCGGACATTTTCCCTACATTGCATGTTTGAAAGGTCACAGTCATCATTAAACAGCGTTCCTGTCACCAGCCTCTTCTATGCAAAGCTGTCATTTTCATTCCAGAGGACCCCAAAGTGGGTGTGGGTGCTGTCATCTGGGCCAAAGCACCATCGGTGAGCTCACCTTCCTTCCTTTGATTAAACTTCTGTTTTGTTTTTTTTATTATCCCAGGTGCACAATTAACATTGCTTCTGTGGCCTCATATGGGTGGAGGTGTTTGTTCGATTGCTTTCATTTTATATTAAGGTGTGCCACTGAGTCAGTGTGCACGATAGCAGAGGCCTGGCACTGGCACAGGGAAATATAATACATAGTAATTACTAATAGCATCATTATTCCTGTTAATCGAGTTCACTTTGATCTGCTCTCTTGTCCCAGGCTGCCAGTGATGGAACGGGGTGTCTGTGCCTGGTGGGTTGCGGGTACAACGCCTACCCAGCCGGCTCCCACTATGCAGAGTACCCCCAGATGGACAACAAACAGGAGGACCGGCAGAGACGCAAATACAGATACATCGTCCACGCCGAGCAGAACGCCCTCACCTTCAGGACCCGACCCATCAAACCGGAGGAGCCCACCATGCTGTTTGTGACCAAATGCCCGTGCGACGAGTGCGTCCCTCTGATCAGAGGCGCCGGCATCACGCACATCTACACCACGGACCAGGACCGGGACAAGCACAAGGGAGACATCTCCTACCTGAGGTTCGGCAGCCTGAAAGGCGTCAGCAAGTTCATAGTGAGTACGCAAGGACGACGTCTCTCTCTGCTGAGGAAAGCAGACAAGGAGGTGACATTTGTGTTCTGTCTTCACAGTGGCAGAGGAGCCCTTCGGTTTCCTCGGCGTCCTCTCCTCACCACGCCAGTGAGTCCCACCTTGTAACCTCGACGTCTTCAAATGTGCCTTTACATGTCTCGAAAAAAAAGTAACCCTCGGTGTCTTTTCTTTTATTCCAGATGGTTATGTCGGGAAGCACAGCAGGCAGGCCGAGTGGGAGAGTCACAGCAAGAAGAAGCTGTGCACCAACAGATCCCACGACTCGCCGACTGTCAGCTGAACGCCGGCCGCAGACGGACAAATGCAACGCTACAGGGAACTGTAAGAACTGGGAGAAATCGGAACGTTAAGTCTGCGCCACACATCATTTTATTCATTCACTCTTTCATGAAGTACCTGGGATCGGTGTCATGACCTTGATCGCTGGTCTGCCTCTATGTTGGACCAAAGAAGGAATCTATTAGGAAGAAAGGAGCGAGAGCGGGAAATAGAGATACAAGAAAATATATTTTAAATAGTAATATAAACTGTGATATGTGGATTTGTCTGTCAGTTCACTTTTATATACGTGGTGGATAGTTCATTTAAAGGATGTTGAATTGCAGATGGTACGCTACGCCGAAAGTATTTTCCTCATGATTATATTACAGATGTATTGATATGATGCATAAAGCAGCTTTAAGGAAGGAGCTGGATTACAAAGCTTTACTCTGGTGTCATTGTGTGCTTTGGTGTTTAAAGTAAGTTGAAGCATATTTTAAGGAGATAAATATACATGAGAATAAAGTTAAGAAAATGAAAGTTGTACAGCACCTGCCTGTAAACAACACACACACACACAAAGCATGAATTCCCATCCTTTTATTTGTCGTGAATGTGGTACAATAGCATCAATGTGGAAAACAAGGTGGCTGCTATCAGAGAGAGGACACTGGGAAGATGTGTCACAGCTTACAGCGTCAAATAAAAAGCTGCTGTTTATTTTATGCCAGAAAAGCGAAAGCAGAATGTCCGTTCACAGTTTTATAATTGTTACTGTCACCCAGCTGCACACTTCCTGTTAGAGTATTAGTCTTCAAATGTACCGTTTAGAGTCCTAATTAAAGAGATTCAAACATAAACCTTCTGTGGGAGCTGATATAACCCTAATGGAAAATGGAATTATGATTTTTCATTTCGGAGTCAAATATAAAAGTTTAAGTTACAAACAACTCAAATATAGCGAGTTAAAGAGGTTCACTGCTCAATCACAACAAATATGTTCTTATCCAGAGCATATTCTCAGACGTAATAACTAAGCTCCCCCTGGAGAGATGCTGTCAAATACAAAAAGAAGAAAACACACCAAAACCAAAAAGGCACCTTTGACTCTTCTCCTTTCTAACACCAACATCAGAGCAGAACACTTTGTCACAGTACAGAGAGAGAAGAAACAAAGACACGAGCGGCCATCTTTACGGCTCCTCCACACAGCAAAGTGCCTCCTGTTGAAACTATATATAAAACATAATTACCCTCAAGCAGTGTGGAAACAGTGATATGATTAACAAACAAAAAGAACATTTTTTTAATATAATACAGAAAGTACCATCAGCCACCAGCAAAGAGAACTAGTGATGAAAACGGGTTGAAGCGGACATGTTGATCCCACTAAAAGACGAAAAAAAGAAGCAGAAATTCTTCATATATGTTGTTTTTTTTTTGGATTTGCAGCTACTTCATTTAAATAGTTAAAAATCAACACGCGTGCTGCGACTAACTGAGGATCTGGTGGCTGTGATTCTCCCAACAGAGCTAATCAGCTTCCTCCGACACCTTGAGTTGTGGCGCTACATGCTACAGATGAAAGGGCAAAGAGATTTCACGATTAAAAAAAAATGTACAAAAGAAAAGATCAGTGATTGAGAACTACTGTTGCACGAGTTTTAAATGAACCAAAGACAAATAACGTCTTTAAATAAAATAGAATGACTGTTATTGTTAATGTGTTGTTTTCTTCTACGTCTTCCTATCAAATAAAAAAGCCGCGCTCCTCTAGGAGGCCGGTTTCTTCAGATCCCTGATCTGTTTGATTAGGTAGGTCTTCTCGTCGTTGAACTGCTCGTCGTCTGTGCGGTCCTTCTGGAAGTTGCTCAGGAAGTCGATCAGCTTGGTCTGGTTCTTGAGCAGGATGTCGATGATGGGCTGCGTCTTGTTGGGATTGGCGACAAAAACCTGAAGGGGGGGGGGGGAACAGTTTATTTCTGGACATTTGCTGCGTTTACATGCACGCGTGTTGTGTTTGTGTGTTGTTACCTTGAAGACGTGGAAGGCCTCAAACTGGATGTTGGGGCTCTTGTCTCGTAGCAGATTCATCATCAGCTTGAGATTCTCAGGCTTGCTGATGTAGCGCGTCATCACCGTGAAGTTATGTCTGTCCAACAACAGCTCGCCCAGGAGCTGGAGGAGAGAGACAATCAATATACATATATACATATATATATATATATAATATATAGATGTGTAATGCTGTACAAATCAGACCTTTAGAGACTGCCTCTTGGTGACGTAGTTCTCAGAGTGCAGCAGCTTCTCGTAGTCTGCAAACACCTGTAGTGACATTAGAAACACATTTTATCATAGATTACTAACAAACTGGTGGATCATTATTATTATTATTATTAACAGATGGAATTTGGGAATGCTTGGGAATGTTTGGTTGCCTGTGGTTTGAATATTTGTCCATTTGCCCCCAAAGACGTTTAGCAATTTAAACATCAAAACAAGTTAAAAAAAGAAAACTGGAGTTACGCGTCACTCACGGCATCGTAGTGCTGTTCAAGGTATTCAGCCACAAGCACTTTGTGTCTCGTCAGGAGATCCTGCGAATAAAGAGGGGAGCACGTATTATAAATCCATCACACGATGGAGCTAAACATTACAAAATGCTGTGACTCAAACCGCTGTCCTGCAGATGTTTTCCATAGTTTCTGGTTTGACCCCCGAGGTACCTTGAAGGTGGCGAAGGCGTCGGAGGCGATGTCGAAGGTGGACATCTCCACATAGTGGAAGAAGCTGTTGAACTGATCCGACTGGAGAACTATCTTGGCGAGCGGCTCGTGGCGGATGCACTCCCTCAGCATGATCCCACAGTTCAACGCGACCTGCGGAGTCTCGTACCTTCAAAACGCAGAGAGAGCGTTTGTGTCACCTCTCTGGAAGCCATCCGACTCTGTAGAGTACGTACTCTGTGTGTGTGTGTGTGTGTGTGTCTCACCCTCTCAGCAGCACGTAGAGGACCTCTTGGTGGGAGCAGAAATATTCAACGGTGGGGCTCCGCGTCCCAATCTGCCTCCTCAGGATGTTGTTGAAGATCTGACACACGTCCTTCTTCCCCTGGAAGCACGAAAATAAAAACACCTCAACGCTCCATCGTTTCTTTCCCCTGAAGACACGGCGACCGCACCCTCGGCCCTCTCCTCACCTCGAACTCGATGACCTGCAGGTTTTCCACCAGCGACAGCAGCAGGCCGCTGTTGTACAGCTCCTGGGCCAGCTGGGCCACCGTCTCGGTGTGAGGCTCCTTGTCGTTGCTGCCGTACAGGATCTCCTTCATGGACACCAGACACTTGGACACCTCCTCAGACGCCTGGAGAACAGAGAGGGGGAAAGAGCTGAAATCTGAAACTGACTTGAGCCTGAACTTTGCTCCTATGGCTACAGTTTATATGTGTGTGTGAGAGTGAAATGTCTTGACAGGGAAGTGTGACAGGCCCAGGCTGGTCCATGGTCTAATTTCACAGAGGGCCGTCACCTTAGGGGCGCCTGGAAACACCCTTGCCTGTCTGTACCTTGTCTGTCTTCTTGTCCTGTTTCACCAGGATGGCCATGTTTTCCTTCAGCGTCCTGACGATGTCCGCCGGACTCTTGTGGGATTTACCAAACAGCGGCATGGTGGACACACACACACACACACACGCCTCAGGGACCTGGAGAACACACACACATGCATGACACATAAAGGAGCAGGCAACGACAACAGTGTGTTCTGTTATTGCGTGTGGAAAAATGGCAATTTTATCGATCTAAAAGTCAATTTACGACTTAAATATTCCTGCAAAAAGAGTTTGGTCTGTGAATGAGTGTGAGCATTTTAAAAAGGCAGCAGTGGATTTCACGATCCCGGCCAGGTCAGGAACCGGCAGAGAACTTGTGACTGCTAATCCTCATCCAGGAATGTAAAAAGGGCATCGCATTCTTCCCCGTGTCCAAAACGCTGATCGGTTGTATATCACTATCTAAGACAGAAGAGGCTGAAGGAACCTCGATTCACTGCTTCTGCACAACAAAGAATGAAGAAGAAGAATGAACAAGATGCCTCACAACGTCCGGGGAAAAGCTGCTGAGCGCACAAAATACTTCAGGTACCGTCGGGCAATTCGGACTCTCTTAAAAACAGAAAAGACTTAAACACACTTCAGTCCCTTTAACACGATGCATTCACTTCCAATAATACACGTTATCATCAGATTACGTCATGCCCACACAGCTCCAGTCAATATTTGTCAATGGATAAGCGAGCGATGAGGAAGCAGCGATCAAAAGAGGGGAACTCCCCTGCTTTCTAATCCAATAATATTGTAAACAACGGCTAATATTTCCACCCTGTTGCTGCAGCTGGAACTAAATGTTTCAAGATTAAGACTAAATGTTATGTAAAGGACTTAGCCAGCTGCTCCGTTTAGGATTATACCAGGTGCTTTTGGTGACTAATTGAAGTCATTCCGGTGTAGCAGGAAAGTTACCCATCACACCTGCAATAGTGGTGACAGCAACTCGAACAGTTCAAGGAACAGGTTTCACGCACATTCCTAAATACTCGACTGTCTCGGAATGCAGAGGCAGCCATTCACGATTCAACTGGAATCTGAGTACTCAAGGAGGAGCAAAGGAAGGATGGTTAACCCTCAAACAGTCAGACCTACAGCCTTGAATCGAATACAATTCATAACCGTTCAGGGCTTTTTGGGTCTCAACTGTCCCTACGCAGGAGCAACCCGATACCACAGCAGACCCTGATGCCTGCCTGTATTTGATGCACTTCACTGCCGTTTACAGACACAATAAAGATTCAGTTACAGCTCTTTGCTGGTGATAGAGTCAGAGCTGCTCCCACCTGCTGCACCTCCACCTGCTTAGAGAAACATGGCTGACTGTATGCCAGAAAGTGACCAGTTACAGGTATGAAGTATCCCCACCTCCCATACATTATAAGCTTATTACTAATACAGTCGCTTCATCAGGAGAGGTTCCTGTAATGAGCAGAGTCAACAAAGGTTAATATAATAGTTCAGGTAGTTCTGCTTTAGAAATAAGAGCAGAGCAGATTTAGAACATCTTAAACACAACATGTTCACTTCATGGCATTAGTTTCACTGCATTACAAATGGACTCAGACTATGGCTGTAAAATAATAATATATAAATATTACATCTACAAAATGTGGGTAAAAATGAAAGAAGTCCATATTGACATATCTGTGTCAAACAATTAATTGATTACTTTCTAAAGATAATTTAATAGATGAATTAAGTAATAGTTTGAGCACTAGACAGGGTTCGACAGGTTTTATTGTGAAATGTTACCGGAAGCTGCAATGTTTTCGTCCTCGCTAGCATGACGCTGGTCGTCTAAAGTAACACAGCGAGGAGGAAAAAACACAAAAAACACACACTGTATTTGTGCTGCTGAAGAATTAAAGAAGACGTGAACGACAGTGTTTAGAGGAATAAGAACGCGTAAGGAAGTCGGCAGTAAATAACACAAAAGGCCGCGTTAACAGTGATTTAACAAGGCTACACCCATCTCGAGCTATTGCTCTTCGACAGCTACAAATGATACCTACAGAGGGAGGATGTCTGGTGGGGTATCCTTAAATATCTTGACCGCTTCTGTCCCGGTTCACAGACAGGCTGTTGTAGTCACGCCAGGGCTGTTTGTGAGCAGGAAAGTCCGCTAAAAATGTGCGCGATACAATGTAAAATGTGTGGAATCCGTTAAGAAGCCAGTGCGGAATTCCATCTGGTCGCTTTCCAGTCAACTGTCAAGCTAGCGTGAACAAAGCCAACGACTTCCGGCGTAAATCTTCGTAGTAAAACCTGCGCGGACGCCCATGCGCTTAAATTAATGGACGAAGAAGGGAAAGCGAGGGTTTTAATTGAGACGAGAACAACTATTAGTATAAATACTACCTGTGTTAATTAATATAACCAAGAAAGTCCCTATTTGTGCAATATTTCATTGTCGGGCAGACAAATTTGCTTTATAGAGAAAACTGTCACTTCCGGTAGGAGTCTGGCTCCCGCATGCTAACTTTATACATCTGTATCTTTCCAGCCGCGTCTGAGTCTCGTTCACATCCTCTCACATGAAGTCCTTCTACCCACCTTGCCTCAGATATTACCATAATGTATGGTATTAAAACCAATAGAAAACATTATTTGATCTATTTTACATGATTTGCTTTTTGTTCCACCACCGAGAGGGATAAATAAAGGAGAAAAGAGACTGAAGGTCGGATGGTGTACGTGTTGGGACGCACCCCAGAACAAATCATGACAGTCTAAACTGGAAAAAGCCCATTGGAGGTTAAATACCACGTGGTTAACATTACACATCCGGATCAAAATACATATTTTATAACAGCCAATGTACTTATGTGTTTCTATGTTGAAGAATCTACAAAAAAAAATATTTATTTAAAAAAAATAAGCCAGTTAGTAGTTATTCCAAAAGCCTACATGGCTTACACTGGTCTAATTGAGGGTGTTACAATTATAACTTTATTCAAATACAATTTGAATAAAATAAAATAGCTTAAATTCCCACACAAAAAGGCAAAATCCCTTAGAGGAAACCATCTCAGACTTTATTAAAGCTGCTTTTCATTTTACATACAATTCAGAATTACATATTTACAAATATACACATAATATCTCATGATAATATATTTATAGCAACACCATACTCCGTAGATACAATAGGAAAATAAAGACAGTGGTCGCTGCAATGTGCTGCATAAAATGAAACCTAAAAAATATAACCCTTCTCATCTCTCCAGCCTCCAGGTCAAAAAGTACAAACCCTTCAATAAGCTTCATTGTGTGATCATGATAGAACACCGACTTAAGTTTCGTGCCCGTGTCAGCTCCCAGGAGGGCAGAAAATAAACTCCCTTGTTCGGGGCCTTGACAAAGAGAGGTTCATGAGGAACATGCCACAAAGAGAGACGCTACAGAGAGACAAGGAGACTCACATAAACCATGATCCTCTTCACAATGTGCATGCTCTCGAGGAAAACAATGCGAGGTATAGAGGACACATCTGTACAAGTGTAACATACATTTTCTCGGTCTCACACAGGTCAACGCATAATGCCAGCCACAGTTTACTCCCTGGTTAAGCTCACAGTTTGACACAGAGAGGCCCGTAGGTGTCCTTTTCTTTCTTTTTTTTACTGGAGAAGAATCTTTCCTTTCATAGGGAGGACATGCGTGTTGTGATTTGAATGAGAAAGGTGTTTTTTTTTCCAGCAAAAAGAGCCCGAGAAAACCATCACGAGCACTAATCATAGTCGGGGCCGTGTGTAACAAAACCACAGTGGTGATAAACAGTGGTGGACAAATGTAACCCACGGGGTGGTGGCGGTTTGACACCATAAAAACATGTTTGCCTTTGAAAAACTAGGTATGATAAAGGTCATTCAGTGTTCAGAATAGCACAGCTTCCTTGTGTGCAGCTGGTTTGTCAGAGACATGCTATCAACACCCTCCTTTCCACTACAGCCAACTTAGTTTACCCCCCCTGTCAGACTTTTCTCATTATTTCCTATTTGCACCTTGTTATTCGATTACTCAGCTACATGGTTAAGCAAGCAAATATTGCTGTGGGGGGGGCGGCTGGTGCAAAACATGTTGAGAAAGGTCCGGGCCCCGGTTAGCGCTGCTTGTAGAGAAGTGGCTCCTGTCACATGCCTGAGTGGGGGCTGGGAGCAGAGGGGAGGGGACAAAGCCTGCTTTTGTTGCCGCAGTGCAAACGAAAGATAGGTGAGCGCAGTGGTCATGACATTAGATATTAATCCAGCAGCTAAATGCACTAGAATGACCCTCTAGCCTCCGGAGGGCGACATACACTAGTTGGATTTGTGCAAGAACGTGCACACACAAAAGGAGCTGAGTCGACACAAGCAGGTATGCGGTCACACCTGCCGGCCCACGCGACGTCTGGGGCTTCCTGAGAAGGTAAATCCAGAGCAGCTCAGAGTTAGAGAATCACTCTTAGATGAAAAAAAAGGAGGTCCAAAAGTTGTTCCAAGCTGCCGCTTGCTGTGTAAGGGATTTGGATGTGAGGCTTGAGAAGTGAATGACATCTGACCACCAGGTAGCGCTGTGGGTGACATTCACCAAGTGATGCATTTGACTCTGTGTTTCCAGTAGAAGATAACACCACAAAACCAGCTGGGAAGCTCTTATCAACAACATGGGAGGAATGCAACCGCTGGCCCGCCAGACACTGCAGGGATCTAACACACCTCCCCCTGCGAGTGACAAGACTCACAGTGACACGTCCTGAAGATTTGACCTGCTCAGAGATGCTCCAAGATCACAAGAAGCATTTTTTTGCAGCCAGCTGCCACTTTTCACGGTGTACGATTAATGTCCGACACTAAAGCATCATGTGAAATACCGACTCTGATCGTATCTGCACCTGTGGACGTCCCGCGCAAGAATCTGTCGCTGTGCCGCGATGTCGTCGGCTTGAAGGGGTTCAGTTTTAAGTGCAGATGTTCTTCAAATGTGTCCACTTTAATGCTACATTGCAAGAAGGATTAATTATGAGACGGAGGACGTTTAGCTTTCCTCTGTACACCACAGATACTGTGATGTTTAAAGAAGGCCAGCATGTTGATCTCTTTGAAGGTAAAAATAATCTAAAGTGAGAGTTTAATACTGCTGGGTGGAAATAAGACTGACAGGAGGTTAGAAATAATCAGAAAAAGGTGGGTGTAGTCGGCCGTCAGATAAAACTCTGGTAGCATTTGTTGGACTGTGACATGGGGGGCTGGGACAGTGATCGCAGGTCAGGGTTTGATGTCGGAGAAGCTGGTGTAGGTCTCGCTGCAGCTGGAAGAAGTGCTGAGGTTCCCCGAGACGCTGCCGTCTGCAGGGACAGACAACAATGGTGTTGGAAGAGCACATCACGGCGTAAAAACAAAAAGTGTTGAGGAACAGGTGTCTCTAATATAGTGCACATGGGAAGAATACCTGAGCTGCTGAGCGACTGGGACGACTTGGACTTTGAGATGAGGCTGAGGAGGTTCGCTGCTGCCACCCAGCCCTCCTGACTGCTGCGGAGGTTCTTCACAAACCTGCAGAGGATGGAACCCAACGATGTAAACATCTATTCATGTAGCCTCCTTTGTTGGCACTATTGCACATAATCATTAAAGGATTTGGAGTTTGTCCAAACACAGTTGCAGTACCAGCTATTGTGGTGACTGTAATTAAGGAGGAAAATACATTCTGGTTTATTCCTGAACAGGACGCCTGCAGAGAATTAATAAATTTCACAACTCTACATGATATTTCCATAACAAAATAGACCCCATAAAGTGCTTAATTGTGGAAGTATAATATATTTTAAAACTGCTAGGACCTTTAATAATCCAACTCAGGGATATAACTAATTTGGGGTTCTTTTGACTGAAGAAAACCAGATGTTTACCACTGTCCCTCCTCTCCTTCTCTGATTAGCTGCACCATGTCTCCGCTCTTGACAGACAGCTCCTGAGGTCCCGCCTTCTCGCAGTCCGCTACCACCGTGTACTTTCCCGGAGCCTGAGGGGGGCAGGTCGGTTAGAGGTGGCAAACATCAAACAACAGAGTGTAGGTAAGAGAAGTCTTCGGGTTCAGGCTCACCAGCTTCCTTCCTTCTTCGTCCTCGGTGTCAGAGTTCATGGGGTCCTCGCTGCTGGAGTATCCATCATTCTCTTCTGAGGTGTCCACCGAGAGAGACGCCTTGGTCCAGGCTGTAGGGGAGGAGAGAAGTGGAATAATGAGACATGGAAGGTGACTTGAGGAATCTGTATCACACACACACACACTCACACTCCACGTGGCATTAAAATGCTTCCTGGTTCACTAATTAAGGAAAATTTAAAACATGTAGAATGATGCGGACAGAGTGACTGCGCTGAGTGGATAGTCAGGATATTCATGGTTGGAATATAAGTGAGATTGATGTTTTCTGTTGATATTAAAAGAACAGAAACACAAAGACATGTTAATGAAGGGGAATTTTGCCAGGAGCAATCCAAATGCCACTTGGAAGTAAGAGTCCCAGTTACACACAAATCACCCATGAGGAGCACAAAACCACACGATCTGTTCTGGACCACCAGATCAGAACATACATTTACACACACACACTCAAACAACCAAATCACACTCCTCTAAAATCCCAGAGAAGATCAATGTAGACAGAGGACAGGTCCCAACAAAGATAAATCAAGATTCATGATCAGAAGATTTCAGAGATTTGAATCACGTGGACTAATTTCAAGACTGCTCTGACTGCCAGTGCTGGAAAATAAGTTCTCATACTCATTATTGTCCACACCACACCATCCCTAACCCAAAACACCCAACAGTAGAAGAAGAGTGAATGATTGATTTGAGGTAGAGTCGGTAACTTTCAGAAAACGGTGCCATTTAGCCTTGAAGTCAGACTTAAATCTTATATTTGCAAGTGCAAAGAGTAAAGAATAGCTTTCAGCAACTGACGCCAAATGAAAGATAAGTCAATAAGACTCAATACAAGGCTAAATGAAAGGAAAGTGGATATTTTGCCACACTTTACCCCTTTCAAATCAATCATGTCCACCATAAACCACAGCAAACACCCACAGTGGCTGATCCTCAGAGCGGCTCTGTACCTCGCCGCTTGTTCTGTAACAGACTAGAGGCACTCATCCATCTGACTCTGCTCAGAGTGGCATGGCGAGCCGGCTCTATGGACGGGGGAGAAACAGCCAGCGAGTCAGTGAGACAGCTAGTCCTGTAGTCAGACAGCTGGGTCGGCAAAATGGACCAGGAGAAAGACCTGCAGGTGTAAACCCGCTCCACATCACTGCCACTGGACATACGCAGGGATTTCTCCCCTGATTAAAGTAATCAGACATTTGTTAAGTGTTCACCACAGCATCTTCACAAATTATTTTATACTACTGCATATGTAGCAGGAGCCAGCAGCCGGTTAGCTTAGCTTAGCATAAAGACTGGAAACAGGGGGAAACAGCTAGCCTGGCTCCGTCCAAAGGCCAATTTACCTTTGGACAAAGCAAGGCTAGCTGTTCCCCTCTGTTTCTAGTCTTTATGCTAAGCTAACTCTAAATAAGAACAATTCCCAAAATGTTAAAAGGTACAAAACACATAATTCAGTGATGATGATTCATGACCTGTGAAAAAATATTGTTATGCACATGGCAACTGCATTTCAAGACTTCGAGGTCCTGCAGATATTCTTTTAACACATTTCTCTCTCAACACTCGTACAATGTGTGACGGTGAATGCAGGGTGATGGTATGAAAACCAGCTTATACTGCTGGATTAATGTTTGGTGTCGCATCATGTCCAGTTTCATCCCTCTAATGTGAGACACGGGTGAGATCTAAACACACGTACTGGAGTACGCTTTAGTGGTGAGGGATGGGAGGATGAATGACGGCCTCTAAGCGTTAGACGGGCCCCTGATATCGGACGACAATGTACCTTTGAACCCAAACGGTGTGGGGTCACTCTTGACCAAGTGGCGTTTGGAGCCGTGCTCGGGGCTCAGGGCCGAGCCTGGCCACACAGGCAGAAAAAAGGGAAGAGAGGGAAGAGGAAGAAGAAGAAGAAGAGTGAGAAAGAGCACGGAGCAAGAATACGACACTCATTAAATATCTAAACCAGCGAGAAGCTTGTACATATTGTGCCTAGTGGGACCTCCAGTCTTTGGTCAGCATCAGGTAAAAAAAAACAGAATTAATACTGCTTATTGTGACGTGTGAACTGATGTACATGTAGAAACTCAATATTTAAGGTCTGGTGTGTCTACAGCAATGTTTGACTTTTACCACCAGGAGGCAGAGTGACTGCAACATTAAAACGAGAATCACCAGTTAACCTCACAGCCATATTATAATGCAATAATTGATATTCAATGAATACCACAGCACATGTACTGTATGTACTGTATTTATTATAAAAACTGATGATAACTATACTGGCTGAAGAGAAAACTTCCTTATTTATTTTAATTAAGGGTGCGTTTTAGTGCTCATAATTTAAACTTTTCATTCGTTAAAGACAAAATGAAAGCTAAAATCCTCTTTCGGTCTGTCAATGTTACCTTTCGGACTCTTCAGATTGCTGAAGCCCTGCAAAGTAAAACGCTTTTTAGCCACTGCAGACCTGTCAGTGGTCGGACTGGTCACTGGTTCATCTGGAAACAATGGTTTGAAATGGAGGAAAAGAAAAAGAAAGGTTTGCAATAATGGAAAAAAAAAAAGAATAATTGAGAGGTAGAGAGACAGAAGGAGGAACCATGAAGATGAAGGCGATGAAGAAAAAGAAGATTAGTGAGGGTTTACTCTGCAGCTCTCAGTAGGAGCGTCTCAGCCACAGACTAATACATGTCATGTCTAAGTGTGAGGATTTATCAAACATTTACCTTTGTGTTTCAGTGAAGAAGAGGAGTCAGACACCGAGCTCGTCTCCGCCTTCTTCTCCTCTTGCTTCTTCTGATTTTTCTGACCACTGCTACGAAATGGACTGGGAACGAGAAGAAAGAAACGTTAAAAATAAATAAAGGGCATCTTATCCGTGGGTGCGCCTTGTGTGTGCGATGTCTTTACAAGGCTAGACACCCACCTGAGTGAGATGGAGCTGCTGTTGCTGGTGGGACTCGGGAAAACGGAGTCTGAGCTCTTCTGCTGACTGGCATCTAAAACATGAACTGCAGTTGAGAGCGGTGTTGTGCAAAAAGACAGAGAAGAAGAAGAAATGCAAAATGATTTGGCGTTTGTGCGGTGTGTTCATGATACCTCTGCAGGCTTTGAGCTGCTGGGTCAGAACTTTGCGGATCTCGTTCAACCATGACGTTTTAATCTCTGGTGTTGGAGCCTAGATGAGAAAAATCAATAACACGGCATTAACAGCGATAGGGTTTCTTCTCCGCCTATCAAAGCGGCGAGGCTGTGAGCTCACCTGGACTATGAAGACTTCGTCTCTGGAGTTACACCAAACCTCAAACTTCTTGTTGTCTCCTTTAGCGCTCTCTGTAATGCCCACCGCAGTCATCTGAGAGGAGAATGAAGACACACAGTCAGCCCTAATCTTTCACCCCGGCAACTAAAAACCTGATTAATGTGAGCTTACACTGAGGGAGTGCTTGAAGCTGTAGGACGGAGCTTTCTCGTAGCCCTCCCCGTTCTCCTCCCTCCTCTTGCAGAAGAGCAGCGCCTTCTCGTGCAGGAACAGGTGCCTCTGCATGGGCTTGAACCGGGCCAGGTCTTTGACTTTGGCGTGACCTTTTTTATGCTCCGTCCACACGCTGAAGGAGCCCTGCATCAGCAGGCGACCCAGATCCGACAGGTTACCCTGAAGTAGGGAGACAGATATTTTATCCTCCGCTCTTGCACAACTGACTAAACGGCTGCTCCGAATCATCCAAACCGTCTCCGACCTCGTATCCCGTGATGGCGATGAGGTGCATGGAGTCGTTAACAGCCTTCAAGATCCCCAGGATGGAGGAGAGAGCTTGCTGTAGGTCATCACAGCCGTCGCATCCCTTGCTGTACTTCAACAACTCCTGCAAACACACAACATATGTATGTGAATACAGTGAGACTGAAATAAGCCCACATGGATACACAGTCAAAACATCAGCTCACCTTCAGCAGCAGCTGGTACTTGGTGATTCTCTGGACAGGTTTAAGGAGGTAGGAGTCCAAACCAAGTTTGTGTTCCAGCTTCTTCTGGCACTCCTGGTTCACACAAAACATAAACCAACGAGGATACTTGGAGTTCTTTTGAGCCACACGGAAAGGAAGGTGTTGCTAAAGTACGGGGTGAAGGGTTAAAGGTTCTACCTGGAAGAAGGCACAGTCGGAGCACTGTCTCCACAAGCTCTCAGAGCGAGGTTTATTCTGGCAGTACGCCTCGTAGATCTGCAGGTCCTTCATCTACAGAGAGACGTAAAATCATGTCCGTCATTGATTTGACTTTTTAAGATAAAATATATGTTTTTTTATTGGCTCATTATGAGTCCACACCAGAAAGCAGGAGGCAAGTGCTCACCCTCTCTAAAAAGCAGTGGCCCACTAGTTCTGGGCAGTCAGTGTACGCTTCCAGTTCTTTAAGAAACGTCCTGGAGACAAACGACGTGAAGGTTTAGAGTGTCAGTTATACAGTTATTCACCTTCTTGCCAAGAGTTCCATGAGAAGATTGATAACACTCTCGCATCTGTACGGTAAGCATGAAGCTGGAGCCAGCAGCTTAGCTTAGCAGAAATACTGGGGGGGGGGGGTACCTCTTATGAAACTGGTAGATTTCAGACATGTTGCCAAACAGGACGACCTTCTTGCTCAGCAGGGTGCTGGGGATGAGGTGAGCCATGGCTGGGTTGTCCATCTCAGCTGCGTAGCCCTGGAGTTTGAACATCACATGCGTCACAGATACGGAGAACTAATTGTAATTGTACCGAATTACAACTCAGCAGTCATTTGAAGTGACATGACCAACACTTGCCTCCAGCACGCACAGCAGCTCCTCCACGTACGCTCTCTCCGTCTCCAGCAGTTCATTCATCACGTGGCTGCAACACAACAAAAGCAGAAGTTTCCGTCAGTTACAGTATCACTGATTTTCTTATCTATGGCTCTGAGGATGATCTTTGACCCCCCCTTACCGCCGAAGCACTGCCAGGTTTTCTTCCTCTTCTGAGAGAGAAGCATGTCTGGTGCCACCGTTATGTATGGGAGACTCCACCTGGACATGCACACATTCATATGGAGTATTTGACTAAACATATCTAACCATTTTGAGGGATAATTGACTCGAACTAATCATCATAAAGTAAGAAATTAAATAAAATCCAGCTTCAATATTGACTACTTGATTAATAGTCATGCATTTACCTTTTTGCAGATGGCATTATCTGCAGAGTATCTTCTCTCTTTTCTCTGTTGATCTGAAGGACGGATAAAAAATACTTATCAGGTCAGAGGATTTAAAAACCAAGTCTTCTTCACTAAACCAGTTTATCTATTGATCCAGGCTTACTGGGAGAGGAGAGCGGAGACTTCACTTCAGGCCTTGGTGCCACTGGCTGGACCGGTCTGGTCTGTTTGGCGGCGAGTTTCTTCAGGCTGACGCGTCTCTTCTCGAACATCTCCTGAACGGAGCTTTGCTTCTGGAAAACTCTCTCTACCTGGTCCTGATGGAGACCAAACACGATCGCAGGTATTGCAGCGAATTAACTTAAGAACGTAAACGGAATATAATTTCATCTGTTAAATCCTACTGACCCTGAGCTGAGTTGTGAGCACCGCCTCATACTGGCAGCAGATGGCGCTGCGGTCGGCGATGGCGTGCAGCGGCGCCGTGTCCAGGTATCGCTCCAGCTCCTGCAGAGCTGCTTCAGCTCCATCCTGAGACTGACAGCGGTCCACTGGCTGACTGGCCAACAGGAAGATGCCATCCTCACACCACCGTGACGCCTAGGAGGAAAATATTCATAGAAATGATGGACTACAAAGTCTGGAAAAATGTTCCATCTTCTATTACTTAACTCCAAAAAAAAAGATCATCTTTCTCCACTTCCCATGCACACACAATCTGGCCCACAGTCCTACCTTCTCCAGAGCGTGGTGGAGCTCCATCGCCCTGAGCAGGAAGCTCTTCTTGCTCCTCAGAGTGGAGCTGATCTCCTCGCACACTCCTCTCAGCTCGCTACACTTGGGCCTGATGGAGTCCTCCGCGTAGTGGGAATCATCTATCAGCCTGTCACCTTCACACGCCAGGGACAGGGCATGGTCCAGTGCGTCCTGTGGAAACACAGCGGAGATGTCTGTTTTTAATATCGAAATATTGAGGATACGTGGAGAATGGTGGGCTGTCAGCAGTGGACACGTCATCAATCAATCGCTGACTGTGAAAGAACCTGTTCTCCTTCTCGGTCCTCTCCGTCTAAGTAGAGCGGAGTGTCCATTACAATGCCTCGAAGGAGCAGGACACATACTTTGTACAAATCAATCAACCTCTTTCGTTTTTTTATATCAGCATTTTCACATGTGAAGCTTGTGCAGTGATTGGGGGGATGGGATAGAGCATCACATTGATTATATCATTAGCCGTATGGCTTCAAGGATGCATCAAAGGGGAAAGTGTCGGGCATGTGTCGCATGATGAATCAGGACAGTGTGTGTGTGTGTGTGTGTCTTACACAGGCTTTGTCCTCGTGTCCGCTGAGCTCTCGGAGGACGTGCTCAGCATGGGCGGGGCTTACGCTGACCTCAGAGAAACCTGACAGCCGCTCTGATGTCACGTCGAGATGGGCGCGCACCTGCGAACGAGCACATTGTCAACATGCTGCACTACGTGCACACATATTGCCGTTAGGCTGTCCAAAGCCACACTTCCCATAATTCAACTCACTTCACGGAAGTGCTGTTCAAAATGGCGGAGCTGCAGACACTGCTCCAGCTTGGTGCGGTGACGCTCCCAGAATTCATCAAACGCTGTCTCGGTTTCGTCCAGCTGACCCAGGAGTCTGAGAGGAAGGAGGAGAGAAGGAGGGAGGATTCATTGATGCGTTCAGGGACAACTTCCTCGCCTGTTAATGTTTGCACGCATCCCTTCTTTTACCTCTGCACAGTAGCTAAGTTTTCCAGTTCGTCACTGGTCATGATGTATTCAGGGTCCGTCTGTAGAGGCTCGTTTATACACTCCAACAGCCGTCCCCCTTGAGACTGAGCCACCTGCAGGTCCTCCTGAAAAATCCAACAAATCATTTTGTTCAACACTCTCGTGGCAACAGAGAAAAATCACCTCCACTGTTCCTGCCTTCGTAACAGCATATCTGACCGTCATCTTATCCTTCTTCAGAGTGTGCGTGTGCAGCAGGTTGGTGGTGGCCTCGGCATCGTTGGGCAACTCCGTCTCTGCAAGCTCAGTGCCGAACGCCTGCAGGGTCTGAGCCGTGGTCTTCACCATGAGGGCGAACGCCTCGATCGCCTGTGGAGGTAGACACACAGGTCGCAAAAGAATAGTCAAACGGGGTGTTTCTGTTTTTTGCCATGGAACACAAAAAGAATAACACTTCAAAATGAAACGGACAAAATGAATGTGCGTGTACACACAGTGCGGTGTGAGATCCAGCTGTCATGGCGGTATTCCTGCGTTCCTCCCAGCTCTGTGGTCAGTTGTCCTGGGTCGATATAAGCATGGAGCTCAGTCACCGAACTCAGCATCACCACCTGATAAAACACAACCGGCTGATTATACGAAGTGTCATTTGTTATAAGACAATCCTGCGTAACTTACAATACACAAAGAAGAAGAGACAGACACGTGCCGTGCACAAGTCACACCTTCATTTTGAACTCATCCCTGTTGTACTTGAACAGGAAGTCTGACAGAGTCCGCTGGAGCAAAGTAGTGGGACGCAACACCAGAACCAAGTGTAAGTTCCCTGGAAATGAACCCTGAGAGAGAAAAACAGGACGTTTTAGTAACCAAGAACGTTTGTCTTTTTAAGAGGAAATCAGGTGTAGAAATAGTCTGTCAGGATAAAATCCAGGCCTTCAGTTTTTGGTTTTATAGTGAGGTTGAAAGAAAATAGTCACAGATGCCATATTTGATTTGATTAACACAACTAAAGAACAAAGTTTCAATATAGTGGCTTTCTTCACTTTATGGTAACATATCAAGTTCAGTACTGCTGGAGAGGTGTGAAGCTAGACGCTGTAAACAGCTGTCCCTCTGCTACAATTCTGAACAATGAAGAGTTTTTTTTTCTGTGATTTAATATCCACTAAATCTCTTACATCGCTCCCTTGTTGCCCCTCCTCATCTAGAAAGCTGTGACTACAAGGTAAATTAGTCCTGTGGCTTTGGGAGCAACCACAGCCTTTTGAGTCTCCACCTCCGCGCTAACAGGGTAAAAGCGTAGAATTGCCTTTACACAGACAACAGCCCAAGAGACCATTCAGCTGAAAGGCTATATCGGTTATGGCTTCCTCTAAAACCCTGGGTGGATTGCTCCACACTGTTAGGCATCATAAATCGATGTAGGGTGACATGCTCACACACACACACACACACACACACACACACACACACACATAAACACACAGGGCCAGAGGCAAGCTGAGAGATGTGTGACAAGCTCATTAAATCCTCAGCGGTGGCATAAATTAAGCAGGAAAAAAAAGTGTGTGGATATTGTAGAAAACATTGAAAATAATCAGGACGTATGAAGTTTGATCACCGCCCAATCAAACATCATTCCTGCTTGTTCCTGGCTTTTCTGTCACTGACATTTTAGAAGCAGTGGTGCGTCCTGAGCTGCTCATGCAAACAACCAATAGACTAAAACATAGTAGAATAGCAATGGAAATGTTTTGGTTCTTTAAATCTCTAAACCATTTAGAGGGCTGCATATGTGAGGAAACAACATACTAACTGGCGTCTTGCATCTCTACAAAATGGTGCCACCCACTGCCTGCATCCGTCGTCGATGTCCATCAGAATCACAGAGAACAGTCCATAAAAACCCATACAAACACTGTACATGGCTTGAATTCAGTCTGCAAGTAGGCCTGCGCTCACACGGAGGTGCACATACATCACAGTCATTAAATGACTGCACGGCGTTGCCATGATAACCATTCTCATTGGGAAAAAATGCATGGAGCGAGATGGAGATCGCACGAAGGAATGCAAGAGAGAGTGATGATACAGAGAGAGAGAGAGAGAGAGAGAGAGAGACAGTGTGTGTGTGTTCGAGGGAGTCTTTTAAAAGTCACTCTGCTGCTCCACTCATTTATTTTTGACACACACACACACACACACACACACACACACACACACACACACACACA